TATGGTACAAAACACAGTATATACTCACTGTTTACGCCACATATTGTACAGAACACGTACATTCTCACTGTTAACGCAACGTATGGTACAAAACACAGTATATACTCATTGTTTACGCCACATATTGTACAGAACACGTACATTCTCACTATTAAAACAACGTATGGTACAAAACACACTATATACTCATTGTTTACGCCACATATTGTACAGAACACGTACATCCTCACTGTTAACACAACGTATGGCACAAAACACAGTATATACTCATTGTTTACGCCCCATATTGTACAGAACTCGTGATCACTCACTGTTAACGCCTCGTGTACAACGTATGGTACAAAACACACTATATCCTCATTGTTTACGCCACATATTGGACAGAACACGTACATTCTCGCTGTTAACACAACGTATGGTTCAAAACACAGTATATACTCACTGTTTACGCCACTTATGGTACAGGACACGTGATCACTCACTGTTAACGCCTCGTGTGGTACAGAACTGTTAACGCCAATTTTGGTACAGAACCCGTGTTCATTCACTGTTAACTCCACGTATTGTACAGAACACGATTACACTGACTGTTAACGCCTCGTGTGGTACAGAACACACTTTAATACAATGTTAATGCCACTTATAGTACAAAACACAGTATATACTCATTGTTTACGCCCCATATTGTACAGAACTCGTGATCACTCACTGTTAACGCCTCGTGTGGTACAGAACTCGTGTCGCTCACTGTTAACGCCAATTTTGGTACAGAACCCGTGTTCATTCACTGTTAACGCCACGTATTGTACAGAACACGATTACACTGACTGTTAACGCCTCGTGTGGTACAGAACACACTTTAATACACTGTTCATACCACTTATGGTACAAAACACAGTATATACTCACTGTTTACGCCACATATGGTACAGGACACGCGGATACTCACTGTGAACGTCATGTATGGTACAAAACACGTGTCGCTCACTGTTAACGCCAATTTTGGTACAGAACACGTGTTCATTCACTGTTAACGCCACGTATTGTACAGAACACGATTACACTCACTGTTAACGCCTCGTGTGGTACAGAACACACTTAAATACACTGTTAATGCCACTTATGGTACAAACATGTGTACACTCACTGTTAACGTCATGTATGGTACAAAAACGTGTCGCTCACTGTTAACGCCACGTATTGTACAGAACACGAGTACACTCACTGTTAACGCCTCGTGTGGTACAGAACACACTTTAATACACTGATAATGCCACTTATGGTACAAACACGAGTACACTCACTGTTAACGTCATGTATGTTACAGAACACGTGTCGCTCACTGTTAACGCCACGTATTGTACAGAACACACTTTAATACACTGTTATTGCCACTTATGATACAAACATGTGTACGCTCACTGTTAACGTCATGTATGTTACAGAACACGAGTACACTCACTGTTAACGCCTCGTGTGGTACAGAACACGTGTCGCTCACTGTTAACGCCAATTTTGGTACAGAACACGTGTCGCTCACTGTTAACGCCACGTATTGTACAAAACACGTGTACACTCACTGTTAACGCCTCGTGTGGTACAGAACAC